GGATTATGGCATTCAAGATTGTCTTTCACAGTTATGGCCCAAACTCATATCCAGGATATATAAATAACCTCAAAACTCCACAGTAAGAAAACAAAAACTCAAGTTAAAAATGGGTAAAAGAACTGATCAGACATTTGACCAAAGTGAATGTACAGATATCACATAAGCACATGAAGAGATGTTTAATATTATTAGTCATTAAGAAAATGAAAATTAAAACTTTGATGTGATACTAATACATCCACTAAGTACCCAAAAAATGCTGACAAAATCATGTGCGCGTGTGGATATGAAGCTAATGTAACTCTCACATCTGCTGGTGAGAATGCAAATGGTACAGTCACCCTGGAAAACAGTTTGGTAGTTTCTGGTAAAGTTAAGCATTCACTTACCATGTGAACCAGCATTCTCATTCTTACATATTTATTCTAGAGTAATTGAAACTTATGTTCACACAAAAACCTGTATGTGAATGTTTTATAGCAGTTCTATTCAGAATCACCAAAAACTGTAAGGAACTGAAATATCTTTCAATTGATGAATGCTTAAAGAATTTGTGGTATATCTATACCATGGAGTGCTCCTCTATAATAAGAAAGAGTGAACTATTGATACATGCAGAGACTGGGATGGCTCTCAGAGGCATTACGCTGAGTGAAAAATGCCAGTCTCAAAAGGTTACATTTCTCTGACATTCTCAAAAAAAGCAAAGCTACAGTAATGGTGAGCAGACCAGTAATTTCCAAGGGCTAGGAGTAGGGGGACACTATGGCTACCCAGGCACAAGGGAGTTTTTTAGGGTGATAGAACCTGTATCCTGATTGTGGCAGTAGTTACACAAATCTAGATATTAAAATCCAAGAACTGTACACTGAAAAAGTCAATTTTACTCTATATTAATTAAAAAAACAAAATTTTCTGCACTGGAATGTTTATAGCAGCACAATTCACAATTGCAAAGCTGTGGAAACAACCCAAGTGCCCATCAATTCATGAGTGGATTAATAAAATGTGGTATATGTATACCATGGAATACTCCTCAGCTTTAAGAAACAATGGTGATATAGCACCTCTTGTATATTCCTGGATACAGCTGGAACCTGTTCTACTAAGTGAAGTATCTCAAGAATGGAAAAACCAGCACCACATGTACTCACCAGCAAATTGGTATTAACGGATCAACACCTAAGTGGACACATAGGAATAACATTTATCAGGTGTCGGGAGGGTGGGAGGGGGGAGGAGGGGATGGGTATATACAACCACAACGAGTAAGATGTGCAACGTTTGGGGGATGGACACACTTGAAGCTCTTACTCGAGGGGGTAGGGGGGCATAGGCAATATATGAACCTTAACACTTGTACCCCCATAATATGCTAAAATAAAAATAAATTAATTAATTAAAAAAAAAGAAAAAAAAGTTTTGAGTCCTGACAGTATATATGACAGTATATAATACTGTACAGGTGGCCAGTATCTCTGCTAGTATCTCTGACTTGAGGATAGAAGACTAAATGGTGTAAGCAAAAAATTAGATAATTCTTACAAAATGTCTAGAACTTACATCCACCTATCCATCCAGGCACGCATCCAACCAGCCAACCATTATGGCCTGTTCCAACCAGCACACAACCAAGGCTTATGGATTATATAATATGCTGGAGAAGGAAGATATGATTTTTTTAAAAAAGGTAAATGTGTGAAAAAAACGATAAGGTGGATGAGCATAAAGAAATATGTTGATGATTAGAAGACAGAAAAGTTTCTGAAGTGGTTTCCACTTAGCCAACAATCTGCCAGACTCATATTACATCCAAGAGCCTTCAATTACTCTTCTCATCGAGCTACCCATGCAGCTATTTGCACATTGGCACCAATTATCTAATGTGGCCTATTTGCAAAGTGTGTAATATTATAGTTATTTTGTCTATACCTAATAAAGTAGAAACAATGATGTGTCTACAACTCTGAGTTCATTGTATGTGAAGCACTAACAAGTCTAAAGTATCCGTATATATTGGAAAATGAAGAATTTCAGTTCCAGGGTGTGAATGGAAAGTTACTCTTGATGTGGATAATTAGCAAAAGCAGAGCCTGGGAGCTGAGCGTGGAAATGGAAGGCCAGAAGAGGACAAGGAGGAGTGGAGGTTTATTTCTTCTTTTTACCTTTTTTTTTTTTTTTTTTTTTTTTTTTTTTTTTTTATCATTGCATTGAATCCTTGGAAGAGATGGAGGAACAGGTGCGAGAGGATGCCTCCAGGCAGCGACCCTGTGAAGCACTGCCCACGTGCGCTGGGCCAGATGTCACCATGGCAGAGCCGGTCCTCTCACATTAGGAACATGCAAGGGGCCTTACAAAATGTCTACTCAGTACAGAGCAGACTAAATGCCCCATGCTTATTTTCTTTTCACAATCTAGGATGTTTTTGTGTGTGAGTTTGAGACTGCAGTGAGGTCCAGGGGCAGAACACAGAAGTTGCATCCAATCTGAAAAGAAGAGAAATTTGGAAAGAAGACCAGACAAGGCACAGAAACAACTTTCCTTAGCATGTTTGTTATCTGCAATGAAATAGTATAAATTTGCAAATTTATTTTGAAATATATAAAAACGTAAGACAAATTGACTGATGGATAGAAGGATAGCTAATGACTAGATAGTTATCTGATTAAAAAACAAATGCAGGCCCTCAAGGAGGTAGAGCATGCTCCGGCTTCTTTAAGTATGGGATGCACACAGTGGCTTCCTTCCAAGAGTACACATGGAAAGGGAGGAGAAAGAGTAACTTTGCGATGGAGAAACCTGACAAACACACCTCAGCCAGGCGACCGTGGTCAACATCAGCCGTGATAAGACAGGTTGATGGTGTGTATCGTTGATATGAGCAATGAGAAAGGCCCTATCCCTCTGTGATCTTTCTCCCCAAGCCCGTAACTGCAGTCTCTTCATGAGAGAATCATCAGACAAGTCCCCGTGGAGGGAAATTCTACAAAATGCTTTGTAAGTACTTCTCACACTGCCCAGGTCATCAAAAACAAGAAAGTCCGAGAACTTGTCCCAGCCAAAGGAGCATAAGGAGATATGACAACAAAATGTAATGTGGTGTCTTGGATGGGCTCCTGGAACAGAAAAAGGATATTAGCAAAAGCTAAAGAAATCTGAGTAAAGTATGGATTTTCATTAATAATAATGCATCAGCATTAGTGAATTAGTTGTTACAAATGTACCATGCTTAGACAAGATGCTAATAATAAGGGAATCTGGCCAGGGGAGTACATGGGAACTCTGCAGTCTTAGCAATTTTCCTGTAAGTATAAAACTATTCTAAGCTGTTCTAAAATTAAAAGTTTATTTAAATAAACAAGCTTAATAAAATGTTGATGATAGGACCGAGGTGGTAGATATATTGGTGTTCACTAATGTTCCTTTAACTTTATTGGGTATTGTATGCTTGAAATTATTAATAATTTAAAAATTAATTTATAAGCATTTATTTGTAAGTTTTAACTGCAGGGCAGGAAAAGCCTAAAATGCTGTAAGCAGCTAGTAGGCAAACAAAGGACTGCAAATTAAAATGAATTGCAGGGTACTAATAAAGACTTGAAAATTGTCCCCTGGTATATTGTATGTTCACTGCTTTTTTATTTGTTGATGTAAAATAATCTCTAATGATCTTAATAACTTTACCATCCATTTTGGTTCCTCCAACGCTGGGACCCCCTTGAGATTTTAAGTTTCTTAATCATAATTTCTCCTAAATGCCCCACAGTTCGGGAGAAGCTGTACATGTACAGATTTCTGCAAATGATCTATTATCCTACTTCACACACACACAAAACTGAGGCTATCAGCCGTGACTCCCACACTTCCTCTCTTCCCATCTGCAAACCTCTCTGTTACCTGCCCGCCCCCACCCCGTCCTTCTAGATGAGGACCGTGGTTCAGGGTTGACCCCTGACCCTGGACCCTCATCCTCCCCTCCCTAATTCTTCTAGGACATTCACATTTTTTCATCAGTTATGGCATTTCTTCCCCAAGTCTTCAAGCTTCCTGCACCAACTTTTCTTCACATTCCCCAAAGCCTGTGAATCTTGTCTTTAAACAATGACCCATATTCTCCAAGAGAAAAATAAACCAACCACATAAGCACCCAGTCTCTGCCTCTGTCCCTGTCTGCCTCCTGCCTCTTTCCCCAGGCCAAGGCTCTGCAGAGGACAGTCTACACTTGCCATCTGCGCTGCGCTTTCATTCCTCTGAACCCACCCGTCCACCCAAAGCCCTCTGACAAGTCACCGTGACTTCCCTAAGGCCCATGCCAGCAGCCTCCTGTGGTCCCATTCTTGCTAGGCTTTGAGCAGCAGGTGACACTCATGACCAAGTGTCAGCCTGACGGTCTCCCCTTCCCCCGGCTTCCAGGACCCCACTCTCCTTCCCCAACCCCTTTGGCTGAACCTTGTCAGCCTCCCTTGCTGATTTCTCTTCCTCTGTTCACCCCGATGAACATCACAGCTCTGTCCTCGGCCTTTGAGCCATGCCCTAAGACACCCTTTCCGCACAGTCCAGCTCCTCCCAAGGCCACCCTTACTCCAAGGACTCCTAGATCTCCACTTCCCCCGGAGCACCAACAACAAACACGTAACTTGTCTTGGGAGCCTATGTGTGCCGGGCACTCTTCCCAGCACTTTACACACGTGTCTCCTCTGATCTTTAGCACACCCTATAACACTAGGTGGTACTGGTATTATTAATGACATCCCATTTTACCGAGCACAGAGAGCTCAAGCAACTTGCCCACACTCACAAAGCTTGCAGCCAGGATTGAAGCCCAGTCCCATGGGCCGTCCCAGTGTGACTCGGGCTCCACGCCTCCCACTTGGACTATCGCCATAGTCACCCCCCTCTTTTGCTTCAGCCTGGACTTTCCCCAACACAGTTCCTGTGCCAAGCAGGGTGACTATCAGAAATAGACATCTCGTCAGCCCTGCTGTGACTTCCCTTTGTCCCCAGCTGGTGTCTAAATCCCTTAGCACAGCACCCAACTCTGGGCAGCCGTGCCAGCCTCGCTTTCCACCCTGCTCTCTTCTGTTCCTTTCTTCAACAAATGATCATTAAGTGTCTGTCCTTGAGTGCTGTCATCAGGTGCCAATAACAGGGTAACAGGATGGTAGACACGGAAGACGCGGAAGCAAACGAGAGCAGCTCTTTCACGCCGTCCCACCACGCCAAGCAGCTTGCGGATCCTGGCTGTAAGACTGTGTTCAACCTCTTTGCTTTTTCCCGGGATGCAGGGAAGGCGCTTACATTCACTGATCTCCTGGACAATCACCACTTACCCTTCATGGCTCAGTCAAAGTGCCACCTTCCCTATGTGGCACTTCCTGATCATCCTTCTTCACCCGCAAACATGGATCCCGGCCTCCTTTCTATCCCAAAGGTGTGTCTTTCTTCTCTCAGAGGATCTACTATACTTCGATGCATCTACTTGGCTATGAGATGGTCTCTCCCACTTCGCAGTGAATTCTTTGCTCAAAGAGACCTTTTATTTCTCTCTACATCCCCACGGGGACCTGGTACATAGACATTATGCATCCATCCATCCACCCACCTATCCAGCCATCCAACAAATGTTTCTGATTGTCCTCACTGCGACAGCCATTTCTCCAGGCTCTGTGGATATGGAGAAGAACAAGAAAGATGTGGCTTCTACATCCTAGTTGGGGGGAGGAATAGACAGTGGAACTAAACAATAATCAAGATAGGCGAGTGAGAAGTTCTGCAAAATAAATCAACAGAGCGATGTCCCAGAGGGCACTACTTTAGAAGGAATGATCACATCCTACAGGAAGGTGGCATTTGTGATGAGTCCCAGAACATAAGAAAGGACACAGCCAAGAACATGGGGACAAAGAGACCTGACGTGAGAACGAGCTCTGTGTGTTTGAGGGACAGAAAAGAGCAGAACGAGGACGGCAGCAGGGCAGGGGGCAGGGGCAGGGGGCAGGGGCAGGGGGCAGGGTCAGGGGGCAGGGGTGGGGCCCAGAGAGTGTGGGAACTTGGAAAATGCAGCGAGTTTGGCTATAGTCAGACTAGGTTTTGAATCCTTTCTCTAGTACTCACCTTGACATGTATGACCCTGGACAAGTCACGTCACCAGTTTTAGCCTCTGTTTTCCCACCATGAAATGGGGACACAAATACCTATGTCACTGGGTTTGGAGGAGGAAGATTGAATGTGGCAGTTCGGTAAAATGTCTGGCACATAATGGGTTTTGACAAACATTATTTCTTCTTCTTTCCTTGCTTTAAACAAATAATGATGCTGTTTTCTAAAAGTTATGCTAGGTTATATCATTAGAAAGTGCCTTTGTTCTTTGCTCTTGTTCTACCAAAGTAAGACAATGGCAAAAATATACACAGTGGGTCTCAGTTCCCCATTTTGCTCATATCCACGTTGATGTTTCCCTTTTGTAACAATAACGACACGCAGAATAAAAACTGAAACAGCTTCCCCTCTAGTGCCCTGGGGATCCAGCATGGCACTCCTGGACCCTCCAGAGGGAGACCGCTGCTCTCCACGCAAGCAGCAGTCTCTGCAGAAGGCCCCTTCGGCCCCTTTCTGGGGCTTTAGCAACCGAGGACGATGAAGGCTGCAGACAGAGGAGGAGCCGAGGACTGACTAAGCGTCAGGGTGCTTTGTCTGCGGTGCCGAGACCACACCCTTCCCTTGCCCAACCTGCGTGGAGCAGCCAATTCAGCTTCAGGTGGCTGGATTATTTTCTGTTTGCAATTAGTTCTCTTTTAACAAAGTCCCCAAAAGACTTTGGGCCAAGCCAGACTACCTAGTTAGAAGGCCAGATGATTTAGATGATCTGGGAACTGGTTTTCTGAAGAGCCAGAAAGCTCTGGTCTTTGGAAGCTCCACAACCAGAAAGCTGCTGTGTTTTCCTGGGAGACACCTGAGGAACACACACACACACACACACACACACACACACACATACACGCACACATACACCTCCCTGGCCCCAGTTCCCCCCGCCCCCCGCCCCAACCCCAGGAAGTAGATTTCTCAAACGGCAGGGCTGGGTATGAGTCACAGGCAATTCCGCTTTGTTTTGGGGCATAAGACCTCCTACTCTTGGGGCCAGAAAGAGTTGCTGAGAAGGAGATGTGGTTTTGACCCCAAGGGAAATTCCCATGTCTGTATGTCTGGTGGCTTGGGAAGAAAGTGGCTTGGGAGAAGCATGGTCCCTTTTCTCAGCTCTCTTGGCGGGCAAGGGCGCCTGCGTCTGTGGGGCTCAGTGCCGCGTGGCATGCGGTGGTGTCAGGAGCCAGGGAGACACCGTATGAACTGTGGGGGATCTGTCGGGGGAGTCTGCCCGGGGTCACCCAGAGGGGTGTGCGTGTACTCGTGCTACGTGCAAAGGCAGGGGCACCGCATGTGTCTCTCAAACTTCCAGGAGCTGCAGCATCTGCAGAGAGAGGGCCAGGACGTCCACGTCCCCAGCCCTGTCCCCACCCTGGGCCAGGAGGGAAGGGTGAGGCCCGCTGCTCACACAGCTCCCGCCTTTCCTCCAATCCGCTCAGACTAAGCAGAGAGCTGGGGCAGGCCCCTCTCGCCGTAGAGCGTCGTGTGGCAGGAGGTGACGGGGCCTGCCGGGGAGGGGACCCCCAGCTCCCTGGGGATGGGGCCATGAGTCCTCAGGAAGGCTACGATCAGCCTTCTGTTCTCTTTCCTTTCTCAGGAATGATGCCCCTCCCCGCAGGCTGCTCCCACCCTTGTGCCTCATCTCGCTGAAGGGAGAGGACGGAACCAAGGGAAGGTCAGTGCCTTGCAAGGCGGACACAGCCCTGGCAGTGGGTGCTGCGCCCCCGAGTCACGCAGACGCTGTCACGGGGCCATTCTGATGGCTGATTCTGGGGGTGGCCTGGCCCCGTGGGCTCCTGCACCTATCTTGGGAAGCAGAGCGCCTCCGTCCCCCGCCGAGTCTCAGGGAGGGCGGGTGAGCGTGTGGCAATCCCGGAAAACCGGCGGGCACAGAATGGCACTACCCGGCAAAACCACGGAAGAGCAGAAATTCAGACTGTCTGTCGTTCAGCAAGGAGAAAACGCGTTACCAGATCCAGAGATTAGGCAGATGTCTGCCCCCGGCCTTTAGGAGAAAAGGGAACATGATAAACAGATATTCTCAGCAGAGGGCTTATTAGAAAAGAGAACCTCTTCCAGCACGGGTCCCGGGGTGGCACGCGGGAAGCATGCGGCCCACAGTCCTGGTCACTGCCCTCCCCACGCCAAGCACCACGCCCGCACGACGGACAGCGGGGCTGCGGCTTCCCAGAAAGATTCTGTCACCAACAGGCCTTGGTGCTAAACAGGGTTTCCGCTCAGATAACCAGGAAACCCGAGCCACCGGAGACTCTGCTCCTCGGCCCTCTCACTGTCGCCGCCCCGGCAGGGCAGAGCAGCATAGCTGTCAGTGCGCCCCACTCCAGGTCCGCAGCGGGAAGAAATGCTCTTTAGCAAAAAGGCGCTTTTTTCTCTGGGGGTAGCAACGCTGAAGCCTGATTAACTTATGAGTCTGGCCGGCCTAGGTGTCACAAAGCCCCAATGTCACCGCTTCCAACATTAGCACTGCGGATAGTGCCGGGGGATCCTCGGAATGTCACTGGGCCTGCAGCGTCCTTCACCCTGGGCCCCGGCCCGTGCCGTACATGGGGAGGTGGGGAAAATGGCACGAGGTTGCCCTTGAACCTTGAATCAGCACCCTTGGCCCGTTTTGGTCTGTCTGGCTGTTTCCTGCTAAGATTATGCTTCACTGCACAATCCTTTCTCTTTCAGCAACGTGGAGTGGGGTGTTTGTTGTTCATGGGCTGGACCCCAAAACTGAAACCGTGAATCCAGTGATGGTGTTCACGCCTCAGCAAACGTGCCATCTCGCTGGAAAGCTGCAGAGGCCCCGACTGCATTCGCCACGCACAGCCGGGTCAGCAGAACGCCGCTCCGCCTTGGAGGCCAGCTCAGCTCCGCCGGCCGGAGAAAGACGATACAGACTGTGGTTTCTCAGTTCCTGGGGCTTAGGGAGCTCCAAGTTCCCTCTCTCCCTGCGCTTCCTGCGCTGTTGTTAATTTTAGAGAAGACCTTGCCCTCTCCTCATATTGCCATTGAGTTCCCCGTGGCCTCAGTTTATCCGTCTGTGAAATAGAAAACCTACGGTTAACTCCTTTACCTATGGCACGAGAGGTGGGTGTGGCCCTTGTGGGCCTCGCTGCAGCCTCTCCTCGCCCCCAGTCACCCCCTCTTCCTCTCCTGCCTCTGCCATTCTTCCTCCCCCTCCAGCCCTCTCTCGGGGAGGTCCCTGCCCTCTCTCGCCACTCTGCCCCTGCAGCGGGAGATAAAGAGTGTGCGACTTTCTGGTTGAGAAGGTTTGCTTTGCAGAAACACAGCCGACTTGTGGTCCTGCCCTTCCCACCTGGGGACAATGTTTATTTACATTTAGGAACACGAGGAGACTCAGCTGTGAGTTTCCGAGGCCGGGAAGATTATGCGATACGTAACAGTGCGGCCCTCGGCTAGCGCTGAGCTGGTGCTGGGCTCCCGCGGCCGCCGGGCTCCGGGTAGAGGGCTCAGGGAGGCGAGTGTCGGAAAGGAGAGGTCTACAGCCCCTCTGAGTCCGGGGATTAATTTGCTGACATATTCATAAGCCAAAAACAGAGACAGAGGGATAGAGACAGGCAGAGCAAGACAGAGAGAAAGACAGACAGAGGTAGAGAGAGACAGAGACAAGGAGAGACCAAAGAGGAGAGAGACCAGACCAGGCCAGGGAAAGGAGGAAGAAAGAAGTTCCAGAACACTTTTAAAAATCACAAGTTAGATTTGAAGAGAAGGGCAGGGGTTAAGATTTCGTCATTGAAATGAAGACATTTTTAGGGATTTTTCTTTATTTACCACTAACTAAGAGGGCTCCGGCAGCAGGTGGCTGACGACTGGGGAAGGTTCCAGAAGAACCAGTCAGTTCGCTGGGCTTTCGTCCTTGAGCTGCAGGATGTCTTGTACCTTGTCCGTTTTGGGGGTGCAGGGTTGTTGGGAGGTGCAGTCCCCACGGCACTGAAGTTTGTCCTGGAGACCCAGGCCAGGGGTTGCTCTGAGTCCTCGTGTCTCTCTGTCCCCTGGATGTCCTGTCCTACCGTGTGCCACCTGAGCTCCAGACGTGTGTGAGGGGGGAGCCTGGGCTTGGGATGCCCGAGCCTCGGCTCTCCCATCTGGAACACGGAGACGCAGATATCTCACAGTGCGACTATGGAATGGTAACAACATTAATGTGCTATTAAATAAAGAAATGTTGGTGACTGCTCAGAACTCATGGGTCCTCAACAGCGCGCTGTGTCCATGTTTCACATTCACCACCCTAGTGGGTCCTCACATCATCTCCACCAGGTGGGGACCTCACACGGCTTCACGCTGTAGCTGACACACAGAAAGGCAAGGAGGAGGAAACTTCCTGCTGACAGAGTGACTCCAAAGCCTTTTTTTTTTTAACAACCACGTGGGTGCCCCCAAAAACGTTAGCTTCCTCTCCTTCCCCTGCCTGTGGATGTTTAGGGTTTTCCATCCTCACAGGCCTGTCCCCTGCAGCGGGAGCCCAGCCCCACAGCTGGGCAGCTCAGCCCCAGCCAGGTGGAGGGTCAGGGGTCAGGGGTCAGAGGTCCAGGCACCAGAGTCCCGATGCCACCAGCCAGTAGTTGGCTGAGGAATCTTGGGTCCAGTCACTGGATCTCTCTGAGGCCCGGGTCCTCCTCTCTCTGGAGGAGGGGCTGCCGGGTGTCCTGCCTGCCCAGGCAGCATGTTGTGAGGACCAGGGTCAGGGACAGCACTGTCAGCCTAAGGAGAAGCCACAGCTAAAGGGAAAGGCGGGATTCTTTCCCTCCCTCAGCCCCACCCACAGACTTGCCGTGGCTGGTCCACCCCGGGCCAGCGGGGAGAAGACAAGGCCAAGCCAGGCTGTAGCCACGTCCAGACTTTGGTGCCTGCAAGCAAGAAGAGAGATAAAAACCTGGAATTTTCTCGGACCCTCCACTCCTTTGGAAAAGCAGTCAAATTTTAGGACAATGCACACAAGTTTAGGGCTCAGCAGTTTGGGGTTCCAAGTCCCCACTGGGGCAAGTCACTGTCTCTCTGAGCCTTAGTTTCCTCTTCTGTAAAAAGGCAATTAACCGAGTGCTTACTTCCAAGGGTACATGTAATAAGATCAGGTTTGGAAACCAGCCGGCTGGCTTCTGGCACAGAGCAAACCGCCACTCGTGTACCCTTGCGGAGCTGAGGGGCTGTGTGCCCCCCACCCCGATCCCCTCCTGACTCGGTGGCTCAGCACGGCACCGCTGCCCACAACGGAGCGTGGATGCCACTCGCAGGGTGCAAGGAACAGCGTCTGAAAAACGAAGGTTCTGTGCTGCGCATGGATTTTCTATTTAAATTTACTTATCTCTAATTATAATCTCAGCAAGAAGGAAATGGCTGAGGACCAGCAGGGGTTGTCTAGGAGCAATTACTTGGCAAATTTCTTTCTTCCCGTGGCAGCAAAGGGAGGTGGAGAGGCAAGGACACAGGGAGGAGCTCGGAGTCTCTGCGCCTTCTCTTTCTCTGGGTTCTCTGGGCTTAATGTTCTCTGCCCCGTTGGCAGGGCAGGGTGGCTGCCTCGGCGGCGCCAACTCAGCACCTCCATGGCTGGCGGGCCACAGGGACGGTCCCCTCGTGCTGGGGGCAGGAGAAATGGCCAGTTGGCAGTTGGGGGGAGGGTACTTAACCATACTGACTTCTTTCTGACATTTACCTTTTTCTTGAAAAGCCAAAACAGGGCCCCGCTGCCCCATCCCCTCCGAGCTAACAGATAACTCTAGGGGACATGCCTATTTGGTAGATCTTTTGTGTTTGTTTTTTAAGTTCCAAAGATGGGAGGAACACTTGCCTCAGAATTACCCAGGGTGCTTGTTAAAGAAAGTCCCCCCACACCTGCAAGAGTCAGCATCTGCCGGGGCGGGGGTGGGGGGGCTGCCGGGCACTGGCGTCTGCACTTGGCCAGTGGACCAAGGCTGCTGATGAACTCAAAAGGCCGAGAGCCCCGGACGGGGACCGTAAATGCCTTGACTCCGTCCTGTTTCCGCACCGCAGAGTGTCAGACGCTTGGAGGTTGGTCGGCGGCTCCTTGGGCAACCTGGCCCGTCACCTACTATGGTGTGCTCCTTATTGAGGGTGCTGAAAGTGATTGTCAGACACAGAAGAGGATGGCAGCAGATTTGCCTCGTCCTCTGCTTGAAACAACCCAAAGCATCGCACTGTCGTGTGCAGAGTATCAGATCCAGAAGGATTCTAAGCAGGCGACTCCTAAGCATGAGAGCAGAGCTGTAGAATCAGACGGGCTGGGCTTAGAAATCTGGTTCTGCAACCACTTACCAGCAAGACAACTTTGGACTCACCACCGGACCTCTCTGTGCTTCAGTGTCCTCAACTGTGAAATAAGGTAATAATAGAACCAAACTCCTGGAAGGATTACAGGCATATGTGATATGTATGCACACACACACTCTCGCCCCAGCACGTATGAACTGCTGATTAGATGCCACTGTCACTGCTGAAGGCTTACCCCACACCAAGCACAGTACTAAGTGCCTTAGCTGGATTTTCTCACTTGCTCCTCACCACTGTCCTGTCTGGTAAGTATGTTTTTGTCCCATTTTGCACGGGAGAGAACTGAGACTCAAAGAGATGAAGTAACGTGCCCAAGGTTAAAAAAGCAGTCAGGGTTGGAGCCACTGGTTTATTCATAAAGTATTGAAGGCTCTCTGTGTGCCAGGCTCTGTTCTAGGCATGGCGGGCACACAGACAGACGAGGTTGCTGGTCTCACGGCACTCACTCCTGGCTGGGCAAACCTGGAAACGAAGTGTCCCGGCTCCAGCCTGCAGGTCTCACCTCTGCTCACGCTGCCTCTTGCCGGTGATGGGCTGCTCAGCGTTCTTGAGCACACAGCTGGGCAGAAGAAATCCACCAGGGGGTGGATGGTGGGAATAGTGGAGGAACTCAGGAAATTTCACCCCAAAATATGACTCCTTAGTATAAAGAGTATTTTAAATTAAAGGCTCTTAAAGATCAACAGGCCTTGGAAGGGGCTTTCCATCTTTTTTTTTTTTTAAATAAAAAACATACCTGTCGAAAAGGACAATTGACTTCCCTTCCCCTCCCTGTTATCCCAATATATTTCAGGAAAGGAGATCAAGAATGCAACCAGACCTGGCCCAAATAATTTCAAATATAATACCTGTTTCTCAGGTTAATTTGATTTCCAAAGAGAATCATTGACAAGTCAACCTGTTCCCTCTTCATCCACTCATTCTCCCAAGTAGCTATTCATCCTCCCTGGCAACCATTTATTGACCCTCAGCAGAATTACCTGTATTCCTCGTCTCCCCCACTCCTCTAAAGTGAGGGTGTGTAAACTTCTGGACCCCCCTGGGATATTGGGAAATTGCCTCGTGATTCTCCCCGTGCTCAGGGTAAATAAATCCTTTCTCTTACTAATCTGTCTTATTGTGAGTTGATCTTTCAGCAAACCTTCCCGGGCACAGGGGAAGTCTCCACTCACCCCCACAGTAGCCTGAGAGATCCAGAAATAAATGTTGGCTCTCCAGAGAGGGGGATATTTCTTCCAGCAACCTTGGCCCTGTGGCGTGCCCTCTGCCTCTCCCAGCTCCTGTCCTTGTGTCTTGCTCCCTGGACTCTGAGTTTAGTGAGACTTGCTGAGAAGAACTCTGAACCCAGGAATTGGGGAGCAGGCTGAGGGTGGGGTACAGACCCCCAGAAATAGGACTCATTGTACTCATTTCTGTCCTAAAGAGGACAGAAAATGTTTTTCAAAGTCCGTTGAGACCTCCCTGTCACCAGGAGGGAGGACTAGCTCTCCCTAATCCAGCGATTCATGTCCTCTTGGGAGTGGGGGTCAGAGGGGAGGCCTTCCCTGCCCGGTGGGTGGACGGTGGGAGTGGGAGCTTGGGCTCCCTCTAGCGACGCCGTGGGGTAGTGCAGAAGACTACTCCATCTAGGCACAGAGCGACCTCTGTGGGACTTTCCATCAAGGGGGGGAGTCCCCAGCACAAAGGGCCCCTCTGGGGTTCCAAGGGCAGCAACAGCTCCCCCCGGTGGAGCCGTCTTAGGTGCTCACCATTCTGAGGGCCTTGGCACTGAACCTGAACCCCCCCATCTGTGCACATGCAGAGCCCTGGGGTTGGCCCGTGGTGTCCCTTGGACACTACCCCCCCACTGGCGGGAGCCTCCTCCCACCCCCTCCTGGCTGGGCCCTGCACACACTGCCCCCCGCGCCGGACCTGCTGGGCTGGGCTTGCCCCGGGCCTGCCCGCTGGCCACCACCCTGGCTCCGGGGAGGGTCACGACAGAGACTGGCCTCGAGCCCCATTTGCAGACTCAGCGCTGCCTCCTGGAAACCACGCGTAGTGTTTTTGGAGCTACGCAGCGTGCTGACGGTTAGCAAACGACTGCAACCCGACGCCTGCGCTCTGCTGAGCGGGCAAGGTTCCGGCAGCCGTGGGCTCGGACCCGGCCGGTCTCTCTGAGCGGGTCATGTGACTTCTCAGGGCTGCAGTTTTCTTGTCTGAAAAGAAAACTAAAACCGCTGGGATTAAAAGAGACAAAATATGGGAGAGCACTTCGGAAAGTACAGTGTGCATGCTGGTGTTAGTGTTCTTATCATTTTTAAAACCCAGAAAGCAGCTAAG